TACCAACATTGATTTTGAGGTGCGGCTGGAAACCGTTGAGCTTTTGTCAAACTCAATCCTCGATTTTTGGTTGAATGTTATTCCACTTTCTTTGGCCATTTTACACAGGAAAATAGCCATTGATTTTGAGATGTGGCTGGAAATGGTTGAGCTTTTGTCAAACTCAATCCTCAATTTTTGGTTGAATGTTATTCCACTTTCTTTGGCCATTTTACACAGGAAAATAGCCATTGATTTTGAGGTGCGGCTGGAACTGTTGAGCCTTTGTCAAACTCAATCCTCGATTATTGGTTGAATGTTATTCCACTTTCTTTGGCCATTTTACACAGGAAAATAGCCATTGATTTTGAGATGTGGCTGGAAACTGTTGAGCTTTTGTCAAACTCAATCCTCGATTTTTGGTTGAATGTTATTCCACTTTCTTTGGCCATTTTACACAGGAAAATAGCCATTGATTTTGAGGTGCGGCTGGAAACCGTTGAGCTTTTGTCAAACTCAATCCTCGATTATTATTTTGTTAACAGTATTCCGAGAAATGTCCATTTTCGTCACATGGCTTTTTGGGTCATGAGGTTTTTTTTAACTACTGTGATAAGGGTGTTTTATCAGGATAAGAACAATGTTGTTTTGTTAGGATTATCAGGAATATTGATGTAATGAAATATCTTTTTTTTTTAATGTAAAAGTTTTGGGAAAATCCTAAACAGTTTCTTAGCCTAAAACTTTTCAAAATAACATACAAAAAATGAACTGTGAAGGTTGAAATTGCCCTTGCTCACTTCCAAATAAGGTTTATTGTGTGGATTGTTTTCTGAAGTACTTTAGTAATATATTACAATGGTATTTGATGTTTCTAACAGCTGAAAGAAAACCACCCTATTTCAACATGAATGCCATGAGTGCCTTGTACCATATAGCCCAGAACGATTCTCCTGTTCTGACTGGAGGTGACTGGTAAGGTTTTTATAAAATGGTTTGATGGGTGTACAGCATCTACTTATTCATTTGCCATTGAAATTGATAAATATCTCAAAAAAAGTATTAGCTGGAAGAAAATGTAGAATGTTTTTAAACTCTGGTTACTAAACATGCTCCCAGGAGTCGCATATTGACATAAACGTGTACTTTTGTTTGACTGGTTAGTAAACAAAATGTAGAATGTTTTTAAACTCTGGTTACTAAACATGCTCCCAGGAGTCGCATATTGACATAAACATGTACTTTTGTTTGACTAGTTAGTAAACATGCTTACAAGAAACACACAAATTGACATAAAAGTTTAGAGTTTTATTTGACTCTGGTTACTAAACTTATTCCAAAAGATCCAACTTCATGAAATGGGACCTAAAAACCATGCCAAAAATGAATTTATTTTTGTTAAACTGGTTGTTTGTTTATAACATTAAAGTCTTAATTGTTTAACTTTCTTCTCGGTATGTTCATATTGAGACAGCTTGTAAAAAATGTCACTCTCTGTTTGGAATGGTACCTTTGTTGCTTACGTTAAAAGTGGTTAGTCTTGAGTGGAAGTCTCGTGACTGTTACCTACATTCTAAAAGTTTGTAGCATCGTCTACTTTACAAAAGAAAATACATTTGTCAATATTTCCTGTTTTTGTAGGTATTGCATTCAAATCCCGGTCGAATTGGGATTTTATCTTAAATAATCATATTCATGCTTCATTTCAATAAATATTTGATTGGAAATATTTAGTGGTTAAGCCTATTTTTAGTGTCTACGTTGGTTGTATTTTTACAATCATTTACTATATACTGAAAGTTTGTAGTATTTATTTCTTCGTAACTGGAAGTTTACGTAACTTTCATTATGGTGTGAAAACCTTTTTCCAAGATGGTGAAGATACCCATCATAAGACATTAGTATTAGATGTATTATATTCTTAAATACTACAGGTGTAATGAATTACATTTATCAGAAAAAAATATAACTAGTTTATGAAATATATTTACAGTTGAAATCTCAGTCCAGTTGAGATTTTTATTTTTTCATGTTTAGATCAACTTCTTTGAATATTCACTGGTTATAGTGCTCGACTATCGTATGGAAGTCTCATGTTCAAACCCCAGTCCTGTTGGTACTTTAGTTTTTTTCATTATAGGTGTAATTGTATTTACAAGCAAGATCTTTGAATTTTTAGAAAAAATATGAAAACTATTATACATTAAATCAGGGATAATATCATATTATATAATAAACACTAGTGACTGACTGTATGTGTCAAAAACAACTTAAGTATCTTTTCATCTCACTAGATGGCACTAAAATACATTATTATTAATGTTTTTCATCTTAGGTAAGAGATTTTTAAGAATTTAGTAAAAAATTGAAAACCGTATTTTATGAAAAGTTATACCTTCGTGTATTTGTCCTTCACCATAATATTCATTGCTTTTGTCATCACAGTTAATAATTAGCCGAGTCATAATTAACCATGTAGGAATATTTCTTCAAGAACCATCTATAAGGTTTTATCAAGAAGAAGATATGAATATAATATAAAAATATACATTGGTCAAAATCCCAATCATAGGACAACTTACGGGAGATGATCAAATATACATAGAAAACATTTTTGTGAAATACTAGAAAAAGGACATTCTTTATAGTATATCTGCGGACTTACAACGCTAGAACCCGGGTTTCGATACCCGTGGTGGGCAGATCACAGATAGCCCTTGTGTAGCTTTGTGCATAATTAAAAAACAAACAAACATTCTTTATACATGTTCATAAAACATTTATTTAGGCTTAATCTTCAGAAGAAAAATTAACTGGGATTTACTATCAGGTGATGAGTAGTCAGCTGGTATATATGTCTGTGTATATGTCTCTATATTTAAAACACATTGACACACTTTTATAATACATTGTAACATGAGATGTTTTATTGGCAGGTCAGACATTTTTAGGAATTTTGTTGAACTTTGTCTGCAGAAGAACCCGTGTGACAGGCTTGATGCTAGTGAATTGTTACAGGTAAAGGTTTTTTAATTTACTCATTTTCTTACTCTGTTGGAAGGTATCCTGCTGGCTTTGTTGTACGAATTTTGACAGAAATTATTCTTTATTTATTTATTTTTATTTTTTGAACTTTAACGTAGTCGTGCGTAACTACGAACGTACATATTATTTTACGTGTGTCTGTGTAATCCATTCATATATGTAGGCTTGCTAATATTTACACTTCATTAGAACTTTTGGAGACAAAAACATTTGATGTTTAATCGATGAGTTGGAATTAGAGTTCTGAATAGAAAAAAAACTAACAAAGTATTAAGAAAGAAAGAGTTTACTGTGGTTTTCATCTTGACAGTAAAAGAAAGAAAAAGTTATTATTTTGAAAGAAAATGTTTTGTAAAAAAATAGCTATCAAATTTCTTAGGAACCATTTTTATAACCAAATGTTCAGCCATGAAAAATATACCTTTGTTTCTAAGTGAGAACAATCTAAATCATTATAAACAAATAATGCATGACTTAGAAGTAAAAAAAAAAAATGTGCTTTGCATTTGAATATTTGTCAAAGCTAATGAAGAAACTGTTTCCCCAGCATCTTTTTATAACCAGGTCTAGGGCACCGAGGGTAATACTAGACCTCATACAACGTACGAAAGCAGCAGTAAGAGAATTAGACAATCTGAATTATAGAAAAATGAAGAAGATATTAATGGTTGATTCTCAAGAAAATGAAGTCTTGACAGTAGATGCAGAAGAGGACTCGGCCGTAAGTTATCATTTGAGTATTGAATGTAATATGTAGGAAATATCTAGCGTGTAACGTCAGATAAAATTTCATTAAATAAGTGCCTCGATAAAGGATTAAACAAACAAAATTAAATTACTCGTGAAAACTTTGAAAGTCTAAATTTTGTATGACAAACTATTTTACTGATATGTTTCACAAGACAAAACTTATCCTACAAGATAAATATCACTGTATAACTGTGCCAATAGGATATTCTTTGTATTTAATCACTCGGTGACTCACAACAGACAGTTGAAGTTTGTTTTGAAACATATGGCAGGTTTTTAACTGTTAGTTTTAATGAAATTAGCTTTACCGTTTGTGCGTTAAACTTAATTTTGGCTAGTGTGTCAGTAAAGAGATTGTTAATGTTACATACTTATACTTTATATTTAAATGTGGTTGCTTATTTTGAATGATGCCTTACACGTCTGTGCAGATTTTTTTATAAAAAATCTATCTCGGAGAGACCCCAAATCTATTTATCCTTATATAAGAACTCGTGTTTACAAGTTAGAATTTAGACTATTCTTTCAGTGCTACTTACTGTTCTTACCATTTTGAACAGTCAAGCCTGAAAGCCTAAAAAATTGCATGGTCGCCCATCTTTGAGGCCCCTCATAAATTACATGGTTGCCCATCTTTGGGGCCCCTCATAAATTACATGGTCGCCCATCTTTGAGGCCCCTCATAAATTACATGGTCGCCCATCTTTGAGGCCCCTCATAAATTACATGGTCGCCCATCTTTGAGGCCCATCATAAATTGCATGGTCACCCATCTTTGAGGCCCCCTCGTGATTAGAGAAATTTGTTCTTCATTAATACTTTGTATGATCAAGGCTTACATATAAATACACCTGTAGGTAGAGGCAAGAATTATTATGTAAATTTGATATTTGCAAAACATTAATAATAATAAAGTTACTATTTAAAAACTAATAATTTTTAGATATTACTTGTTATCCTTGGAACAATTTTTGTACTCTGCTTGACTGTTAGAAACCTTGTATTTTAATATGGTGTATCATAATTAATATCCAAATTAAAAAATGACAATTACTTAAACCCATTTATTGTTATATGCAATCCAGGGTGATCAGGTGAAGGAGACAGCAGAGTGAGTCACATTGTAGCTAAACAATGTTGTTCTGTTAGGATGATCAGGTGGGAGGAGACAGCAGAGTGAGTCACAGTGTAGCTAAACAATGTTGTTCTGTTAGGGTGATCAGGTGAAGGAGACAGCAGAGTGAGTCACAGTGTAGCTAAACAATGTTGTTGTTCTGTTAGGGTGATCAGGTGAAGGAGACAGCAGAGTGAGTCACAGTATATATAAACAATGTTGTTGTTCTGTTGGGGTGATCAGGTGAAGGAAACAGCAGAGTGAGTCACAGTATATCTAAACAATGTTGTTGTTCTGTTAGGGTGATCAGGTGGGAGGAGACAGCAGAGTGAGTACAGTATATCTAAACAATGTTGTTGTTTTGTTAGGGTGATCAGGTGAAGGAGACAGCAGAGTGAGTCACAGTATATCTAAACAATGTTGTTCTGTTAGGGTGATCAGGTGGGAGGAGACAGCAGAGTGAGTCACAGTGTAGCTAAACAATGTTGTTCTGTTAGGGTGATCAGGTGGGAGGAGACAGCAGAGTGAGTCGAAGTATATCTAAACAATGTTGTTGTTCTGTTAGGGTGATCAGGTGAAGGAGACAGCAGAGTGAGTCACAGTATATCTAAACAATGTTGTTCTGTTAGGATGATCAGGTGGGAGTAGACAGCAGAGTAAGTCGCAGTATAGCTAAACAATGTTGTTGTTCTGTTAGGATGATCAGGTGGGAGTAGACAGCAGAGTAAGTCGCAGTATAGCTAAACAATGTTGTTG